ATGGGTTAGCTGATGAACATTCACCGATTGATGACGAGACTCATTCATCCTGTTCTGCCTTGGGGCTCACTCTTGAACCCCGCCAGCAGCGGTGCAGGGGCCAGCATTGTAGACAGACAAATACTGCTGACAAAGACAAGAGAAGTTGGAATGAACAGTTCTGGCTTATTAGTCCTAAGGCAGAACGGGGTGAGTGAGTTTCACAACCGATCGATAAGAATTCGTCCGTCAACGTCAATATATCCGACCAGAAACCGGCAATACAACGAGCCTGTGCCCTGGTGGGTTAGAGCGTTGAACTTCTGGTTTAAGCCTCGGGTAGTCCAACACCTGGGGTTGGGTATGGTCGGTTGAGAACGGCTAGCAAGCCAGAAATGGCCATTCCAGTCTCCCTTATCTTTGTCTGCAATGTGTATCTACTTAAGATTAATAACTCAAAATGACGTAACGGCAAGGACAAATGTGATTGCTGTGATAACGTCTGGCATATTCGACACCATTCATCAACTATGACTCAACCCTGGGCAGCGATCACACGATATTGAAGTCAAATGTACTGACGTTGGCTTTCAACTTGTTAAGTCACAGCCTCACACTCTCTCTACCGCTGCGTAACGTTCAAAGTCACACAGCATTAACTGTTTCAATTGCAATCTCCAACAGGTGTTTACTGGCATGCCCCCGCTGCAGAACAAAACACTGAACACAGGTGTGCGCCGCATTAAGTTAGTATTGCTATTATAAAATATAAAGTAATTACTGTGGATAGTTGCAGTTGAGATCCCAGAATCATGTCGGATCCACGATCATTTAATTGCCAAGAGATATAATAAACAATTAAACGAGTAGTAAGAAACGACGCAATGTAAACTTTGCCGAAAATATTCAGACGGGCCCCAGCGGCAATAATAAAAAATCCACGATGAACCTCAACTTGAGAGCCCTGAAATGCACTAGAGACGTATAAAGGCTACAGAAAGCCCAAACCACAGAGCCTGATCGCATTGCTAGAGCGAATATGAAGTGCTGATATCCTTCTAGATAATAAATGCATCTTAGTCGAAAAGATGCTCATAGAAACCCCCGTCCCACCGTAAAAGATCACACCAGTAGATGTTTCGCAAAGTGCTGTTCAAATAGAAGTTTTGACGCGTTTAAGACTTAAGATTTCAAGGTGAAATAAAGGAGCCAACCGAATTCGCAGTAGACAGTTTCGAAAGCGATAGGCTGTAATCAAGGGTAATCAAGATAAGAACATAAAACAAAATATTCTCAGATTCATGACTTACCATGCCTAAACGCACATGGCCAGCCTCATTACCCCGGGCCAAATGTCGGCGTTTTTGACGCAGACTTGAGTGAGCCTCGCGAACGAGTTGTTCCAGTCGGGTAACCAAACTGCCCGACTCATCCTCCTTTATGGCGTCCCTACAGTGTGCAAGTAAGAAGAAGCAGTGAGAAGATCACTTAGCATACTCCATAATTGGTATACCGCTAGTGATGCGAAGTACTCCTCTGTAGGTCAATCTGACTCGAGAATAAATGGGAAAGAAAGTGAGAAAAACCTGCGAAGCATCTGAATCACGAGCACCTTATAGCCCATTAAATTCTGGCTGCGGCACTCCATCAGAAAAAAACGCTACCTGGAGTATGACGTTGCCCACCTTGATACGATGTCCAGACGGTCTAAAAAGCCCCCCCAGGATCGGTTTTATGACAAAAAGATACTGCTGAGAGGCGTAGCATACTATGGTTTCTTTAGAGGAGGTTGAACAACCGTCCTGTAGAAACGCGGTTGAGAATCGAGAATAATGCTTAAGACATCACTTGATAACACTTGCTAGCAGTTAAATGCAGATTTCCAGCCGCTAGTGAACATGATTGTATTGATAGCCCAGAACTTGTAGTCCGATTGGTGTATTAACGGTTGTGCCACATGCTTCTCTGGATAGTTGGTGTATCACTCCAACGCCGATGAACTTGTTCCCGAATGAATGAAAAGGTTCGATTTCCAGGTATTTGCATGGAGAAGGAAGAAGGCGTATCGAGCACCGGATCAATTGATTTATTGTTCTGAGCTTTCTAACTCTTATATGAGTCCAGCTTCAGAGA